CTTCATTTTTCTTGGTGCTGAAAAGCAAAAAATGAAAAAGGAAAAAAAAAAAAAGCAGGGGGAGAGACTGGACAAGATGCAGCTATGTTTATTCTTATCTTTCTTAATCCCTATTCGAGTAATCATACCAGCTGGATGCTCAGAATCTGAATCCAAGAGACCTGGTAGTCTTAAACATAATAGGAAAACGAAGAATCTTCATGAAGAAAGCGAGCATGCAGAGGGATAACGTGTAGGCTCAGATAAGCATGAATTGTGTTGTGCAAATACATGACAAGGGGAAAGCGGACTGAGGATTCTAAGGCACTGAAGCATCTGTGATTTCTATTTTAATCAATTGGCTGCTTCTCTTTGGTCACAGTTTCAGAAAAGAAGCCATCGGTTAAGCTGGTTAAACAAGAGGAACCATATTCCATGAGTTGTGCAAAAAGAATATGATTATTCAAACAATGCCCCCAGTAAAGGTATGCAGCTTGCATTTTCATTCTGCATCTCACCAAGAGAAAAAAATAAATCTGAAAGAATAGTAATATCCCATTTTCTGAACTTTATTTATATGCAATTACATCTGTACAAAGCAAGGTGGTTTAGGAGAATGAGTGGAGATGAGACAATAGAAAGCTTGAAGAGCAAATCCCAGTATCAATTACTGCTTTACACATTTTGGAAAGCGAAAGTATTAATAATATTTTGCCTTAATTGCACTCTGCAACAGAATAGGAATAATTCCTACTCCTCTAATTCACCAGGCTGCTAATAGAATTAAATAGCAAAGCCATAACAAGGCTTGGACATAGTTTCTATAGCAAGGAGTCAGCCTGGCTTGCCTTCAGCTCAACTTTCCATGTACACAACGAGCCCTTGTACTCCAGGAGTTTCCAGAAACTCCCTGTTGTGGACTCCCTAGTCTCAGTTCAGGGTTGCTTTTGATGTCAAGAGATGCAGGCTTACCTATTCTTTATGATTTCAAATTGGCTGTTCACCATACAGGACTACACCTCATGGCCCCAGAAGAAATAAAGCCACAGAGCAAGAATACTCCTGGGGTATGCAGCAGCAATAAAAAAATAATTTTCTGCTGGATACTTGCACTGCAAAATGAGCTGAGCTGCATCCTTTTCTGAAGGTGGACTCATTGATTTCAAGCATGAATTTCCGAGGGAAACCAGATGGTATGTGTGTGGGAGCACACGTCCAGTCCTCGATAAGTAGTATGCATGGTCCTCAGAGTGGGATATTTGTCTTCTGGTGTTTAATTTCAGAGTGTACATCTGTGATTAATGACAAATGTGTTACTTATTTTAGAGTCTCAACTATAATATTTGGGATTCAGTAAATTTTTGCAGGGCACTATCTGAAACTGATTTTGGACTGCACTTCTTGCTGAAACTTTACATTTCTTCCAAAACTATAATGGATTTCACCTGTAAATATGTCCAGAATATAATTAAGACCATCTGGTAGAGGGAATTGATTTTGGAAACATTTTTGCTGGAAAGGAAGCCAAATTCACTCTTGGGAGCAGGGTCTCTAATAGTGTTTCCTTTTCCTCTGAAATAATAGTATGAAGTAAAACCATTCTGGGAAGTGTCAACAAAATATTAATTTGATGTACAAGGGCTGAAAAGCCAAAGCTAGAAGGAGAACCATGGGACAAAAATGTGTTTACACAGATGCTGGATTGTCTCCAAGACCTGTGAAAATAGTGCTAAATCCTCCCAGGGCTGAACAATGGGACTGAAATGAGGCATCAAAGAATAAATAATATATGTTAACTTGCTCCCACCCGTTATCACACTGTGTGGGATTTTTTTCCCCCTAGAAGCACAAATAATTAACATAGTGCAAAGGTTTTCTAGTCCATTGATTGTATTTGCACATACTCAGGCAGGGAAGGAGTCACCAACTAATGTTTGATTAGAGCTGGCCTTCATTACTGCTTTTGTTTTTGTAAAACAATTTTAAGTAGCATACAAGCCCTTTATAAGGCCGTTCCTTCATAGAAATGAGTTTAATGCATGATTTTTTGTGTAAAATCTGCAGGTATCTGAGCTGAAGACTGACCATCTGGCAACTAGCTCAGGCACGGACTGATGCCCCAGGCTGAGCTGAAATGGGGCTCTTGGGCTCCTGGGCAGGTGTCAAGGGGAGCCTCACAGTCAAGGCCCCTTGAGGCCCTGAAAAATACTTACAGGGTGCTTATTTTAAGCATCTGACTTCAATAAGAGTTACTTTGAATGGACTGCTTTATGAAAAATAGAATACATTGAACACAATATTATATAGAAGTAGATAAGGTTGTTTATTGTTTAATACTCACTAGAATAAAAAATACTACTTTTTTAGGTTCTAACCTGAAAAAAAAAAAAAAAGAAAGAATAGAGTGCCTATTCAATGATTCATTTTCTCTTTGGATGTTTGAGTCTCACAGTTAATATTGCCCAAGTAGCCATTGGCAGAGCAAAACTATCTTCCTACACTTGACCTCCACACTTGAAGAAATAATCATTGCCCTTTTTTAGGACAGCTGACAGCTAACAGTGGGACCGTAACCTTAGAAAACTGAGACATTTCCCATCATTGACTTTGGTTTTTAAAAAACTTTGATCTGAAGTGCATGTGTGAGGTAAGGAGGGGAGAGGAAGAGGAAAGGCCAGTATTAATTGCAGAGAATGCAGGCAGAGTAGGATAACAACTTTGAAATAAATCATATAACCAAACCATAACAGGAAAATATTTGATAGTCTGAGTATTGTATAGAGCCAGTACACTCTCCCCAAAGCACAGTTCCTGGAAAGCTCAGACAAGAGATTTCCCTGATGAGGTGGAATATCAGATCTAAATTGCTAAACAACTTAATTTTCTACTCCTTCACCCCAGCTCACCACCAAGAGCACCCCACCCAAACCCTCCAACCCCTCCCCCCCCAAAAAACCACAAACAAACAAACAAAAACACCAAAATCCCAAAACCCCTTCTATGGTGAAAGAAGCAGAAGTACACCAGTTTGAGAAGACAGTGAGACGTAAAGATATAATTTGGACACTGCTCATGACTTTAAATGAACATGTGTTGGAGTGGATACGGAAAGTGTTTCTCTTTGAGCGAGTTTTACTCACAGCTTCAGTTTGCGGAACATGTTTCTTTTACCTCTCCAAAATATTTTCAAAAACATGCACTAAAATGTCACAACAAAACTTGCCTCCTTATTTCATAATTCTGTAGCATTGTAAAGCAGTCCTGGCTGGATAATGCATAATTTCTTCTTTTTCAGTTGTTCTGGGAAGTCTTATTTTCCACCATCTTGTGTGATATAGTGAACTACAGAGAGCTATTCAAATCTCAGGACAATTTGTCATTTTACACTGATGAGAACATTGTGTGTACACACTTCATGAAGAGTAAAACTTTTGGCTTGAACTGTAATGAATAGAAGGAATTTGGAAATGAATTGTATTTTCAAGTCTTGAGCATTATAAATCCTGGCTTGCAGTACTATAAAACAATTGTCGTTTTAAATATATGGTCTAATCTAACACAAGCAGGTTGTATATATGCTAGTTCCGGGTCATAGTACACTTACATTGAAGTTACCAGCAATATAGGCTGAAGCTAACATCAAAATAAAGCAAATAAATACATGAGCCCAAGCAGTTCTGGAGAATTAGCCCTAAAGAATTCCAGTTTCCTGTTGATCTGTGTCTTACCATTGGTCAACTCCTGTGTTTAAGATAACTTCTTATGTGTGCTAAGAGGGCTTATAATGTTTTTCTTCCATTTAATGTCAAAGTGTCACTTCCATGTGCAGTCTTTCCATCATCAAGGCACTTTAATGGTCTCTCTCCTTCATCAGGCTGCCTATTTTCATGACATTTCTGAAAGAATAATTATCTTTGGGACCTCTAGCCTCTACTTCACATGTGGCTGAAATCAGAGAGCGCACACACAAACACAGACTTTATAAGCCTTGTTTCCAAAGGAAATCGCTCTAAAAAGGTACTCTTCTGCCTTTTGTTTTACAAGAAGTGATCTCATTGTAATCAAAACGGATGTCCTATAAAAGACATTGGAAGGTCTTTCCATTCACATGAAAGATAAACAATTAACACCACCCAGTATCAGAAGAGTAAACAAGCAGCAGTAAGTGATAGACCAGTGACCCCAAAGAAGGCATAATATCCCGCTTAAAGCAGTAATGTTGTTTCTTTTGGAAGGGAGGCAGGATTTTCATATGCCATGGACTGCTGCACCCATTCTCCTGCTACCATTTAGTGTATTTCTGATTGTAAACTTACCACATTCCTGATTAGATCCATTTTTTTTCTGTTTCTATTGTTTCTGTGGGGATATTCTTTCCCCTAATAACAAAAAAAAATCTGTTTCTAATCTCCCATATAAGTATATGGCATAGAATGTCAGGAAAAATGCTAAATAAGGGTGAAGATTGACCAACTCAAAAAAGAGACATTAGGGGACCTGCAAAAATATTTACTTTTGTACAGAGCATGAAAAAAAGTTTCAAGAAACATACTCCAGCTATAAATTCTTTCAGGTGACATAGGCAAAGGGGGTGATTCATAAATAGTCAGGAAACTATGGGAAGGGTAAATGGTCCAAAATTAGGGGACAAGTCATTTTCCATGGTTGGTAGGATGAACATACGAGAACTGACTTTTCTGTGGTTAGGTTAAGGTCAGTAATATGACACGTGCACTGAGCAGCTAAAATGTCAGTAGCGTTGAAGCAGCAATGGATTCTGCAATGACCTGATGCTGCCAACTGGAAGTGTGTGATTGCAGGATCCCCCAGGCTCCTGAATCTGATAGAAATCTCCCCATCACCTGTGGCCAAACAGTTTCACTTTTAGGATATGTTTGTCTCGTGTGACAGATATTCACCTAGACCTTTTTAATTTTGTCTGATCTGACATCTCTTTGGAAGAAGGGTAAAATCACAGGCTCTGTTTCCCAACCAGTGTAAAAGTAATACTCGAGACACTGATATTTCTGATTATTTATTATGGCACTTGAAAGCATATAAACTCCATTGCTAGATGTTTCAAGCCAGTTTAAAAAAAAAAAAATGAGGCTTTAAGTTTTAGGCAGTGTTTCAGTAGATTTTGGTTAAGAATTTTTAGAATGTTACTAGACAGGAAATAAGAATTTTGCTAGAAAAACAAAGAGTCTTTTCAAAATAAGGCTTCCTTTCAGTAAAGCATGTAGGTGTTTGCTTAAGTTGATTGCAGCCATTGGCTCACCAGTATATATTTTTTTCAGATAAGAAATTTGTGGGTTCGAAACATGAAAAACCAAACTAATTCCTGAAAATACATTCGTCTACTTAAACACCAACAAAGCTTATCTCTTATTTATACCCACTGAATTCTATTTACTTTGTAACATGCAAATTAGAAACAACTCTAGAATCTGAACTCTGACTGTTTTTTCTATTTCAGATATTACTACTTCAGCAATTTAAGGATGCTGGTCAAAATACAGCTTGCTGTTAACTGTTCATTACTGTATACTGCATTATCTTGAACTGAAGGCAGCTTGTAGGAGAGCCTAAAACCAAACTGAGTTTTTGTAAAACCTCACTTTAAAATTCCACTATAGTAACAACATTTCCACTTCATATATTTAACAATTTTATTTAATAGCCTCATAAGTTCAGAATAGTTACATAATAGTTACATCACGGCTTTTAAAAAGGATTGCACTCAGCTACTCAGTCCATTGAAATACTAGAAAACAGGGAAAAGGAAAATACGGAGTGTAAAGGAGCTCTGTCCACTGAACTGAGTTGTTTGTAGCAAGTTCCTACTGAACATGAAGATGTCCTCATGCTTTCTGGTAGACTCTAACACACTTCACACCATTCATGTCACATTCCTAGAAGACAAAGAGATGGTTGTATTAACTTGCCTCAGTAAAAGATCTTTTAGAGTTAATTTTAGGCTACCGGCCAGCAACACTCAGGGATCAGACAGCGGAACTGAACTCACCACCACCAACTGTCCGTCCACTAGTTTCCGTGTTATTATGGTCTTCTTGCCATCCCATTCCTGCCCCTGAATCAATGACCCATCATCTTTTAAGCTGACGAGGGTCTGAAAGAAGAACCTGAGCATCAGTACTTTACCCATGACATTTGATGGAGTGTGAGGCTTTCCAACACCCGATTCTAAAGGAAAAATACCCACCCCAGCTCACTCAACAGTAATTTTGCCATTAACATCTACAAAGCCAGGATATTATCTTAAATGTTTTGTCAATCCTCTTCTTACAGTGGCTCACTACTCGTTCACTCACTGCTCTGACACATTGCTGCATCAGGCAGACCTTTGACAGCGTGCACAACTCCAATTAACAAGAGCAGACGGTGTTCATGGCTTTGTACATGGGCTTTGAGCTTTTGTGTAACGTTTATCTGATCTTGCAATAATAGATGAATTGCCAGTGTGTGGCTGGGAGGGATTTGGGGGGGGGCGGCACACAGAGATCACTAGGAAACGAGACACGTATTTGATGGCTTCGTTTTGTTTAACCTCCTTTTGGGTGAATATTTTCCCTACTTGGTGCAGGGAGAAGCTCTTTGCCTTCTAAAACTGGAGATGAGGGACTGTGATCTACATGTATGCCTTGTGTGGCTGTTATCCCACCGCACACTGACCCAGGCTCCCTTCTCATGCAAATACGAGACTGAGCAGAAAGGCTAACCCTAGGGCTGAATTGCCTCTGATCACACATCAATGGGATTTTTTTCCACAGGCTTCAAATGAAGTGGCATTTGGCTTTAAAAGGGATTTAGAGGTCTGTTAGTTTTACTAACACAATGCTTCTGCTACTAATTGAAAACAACAAAACACACAAGACATTATCGGTTTCAGCATTTTCCCTCTTTTGGAAGTTGCTTAATCCAGAAAAAAAAAAAAAAAAAAGATTTTTTTTTTTCAATGAGACTTACAGCGACAGCTGTTCATCAAACAAAGCATTGTTAGTATGGATGTCAAAACTGATTTTTAAATAGCGTCTCCATCTGCAAAACACTCAAAGAATTGTGGTTTTCCAGTAGAAAATCTATTATACTAACCTGAGTTTTCCTGCCATCTAATGTATTTTCCTCAAATTTCTCACCAAGCTTGAAGCTGAACTGTGAAGTTTTGAAGGTGCTTTCTGTTTTTACGGTGATTGTGTCCCCATCCTTAATAATGTAAACATCTGGTTTGGCCATGCTTCCCATTTTTCTCATGGCCATACCCACACCTGCAAGGCGAGAGGCACAGAGTGTCACAAAGTCAATTAAACCCCGAGGCTTAGGGCCACACGAGAATCGAAATACCTAATTCCCATTTAATTAGGCACTTAAGTACACTTGAGAATCAAAGCTCAAGAGCCACAAAGAAAGAGGATGTTTTAGATTATCCACTGATGAGGACAGAAAAAAAGCTTATTTGCAGGGTTATGCTTTACCTTCCTCAGGGAGCTAAAGTTAAATCTATTTTGCCCTCTAGAGGACTTGCAGATGTCCCAAAACTCAGCATAGAATTTTTACAAACAGAAATAAACAATAAACAGGAAAACAAATACAAAAGCTTAAACTAATATAAAATTATTCCCTTCAAGTTCTGAACACTTAAAAAATTCTACAGGTGATTTTGAATTGACAGATTCATCCACCTGCATATTTATTTCAACTTACTCAAAAAACACTCTTCCATCACTCTGTACACAACTGCAAACATGCAATTTTTAATAGAAGTTCATCTTCTACACCCTGTATCCAAAGTATGGACTTGTGAATTAGAAAATCGCTATCTTGCAAAATAGTGCTCACAGACAATTTACACACACACAAAAAAGGACTGCGAAAGAAGTGAGCTTTGCGAATGACTGAAAATTCATCATCTGGAGACAGCAGCCCTCAAACCTCTTCAGCATAAAGGATTCACCCTGCCTCAGCCCCTGTGTGCACTGAGTGGTTTGCTTGAGTCTTTCTGGTCTGAAGGATGAAGACATGACTAAGGTAGTAGTCAGGCAACAAAGGTGAATCCATCAAACTGGAAAGTGCAGGTCTGAACCAAGAACTGATAAGCACCCAACTGGAGCAGAAAGAGCCACCAAGTGAGTGAGCCTCTGGGCTCTGCAGCTGGTGGAGTTAGAAAATGTCACATAATAGCACAGCACTGGCCTTGAGCGTACAGGATACTTGGGTGAGGGCTGAATCCACAAAGCAAAGATTACAGTTTCCTTGGGAGGTGGAAATAAAGTACTTCCCAGCCACTGTTTCAACAGACTCAACTGGGATTCCAGGACTGAGCCTTAAGCTTGAGATTGCAGAGCAAAAACCAGTTCTCTTCAGTCCAGCTTTTCTGACCAGAATTGGAAGTTACCGTCATAGTGACCTCCCCACCCACCCTTTTGCCATCATCCAGTCCAGAGCAATCGAGAAGTTATCTGATCAGCAACACCTTGGGATCCAAATAAGCAGAGATGAGCTGTGTATGTTTTCCATATGGCAAAGAGTGAAATTCAAACTTCTTTGTCCTCGAATGTTCTTTTATACAGACTGAGAAGAATCTGCAGAATCTCATTTATGGTGTATCAATAGGATCAAAAGGCAGAGACTTTCCTAAGCAGTCAGCAAGGGTGAGATCCAATAAAGGACTGTCTCCTAAAGTGTGATTTGGAGTAAATTTAATTGCCTAAATTGTAATTGTAAAAAGGAAAAGCGACTGGTTTAAGATTGTGATCTAAAAACAAACAAACAACACTCAGTTGCTGCCTACACATGGGAGGTGCTCTGCAGTTGCAGCACTTAATTTATACTTTGAAGTTGCAACTTGGCACATGCTTAGCCCTGGCTGTTAGACCTGAGCACCGCGGCACCCTAATCCATGGCTGAACTGAGCTGAGCTTAAAATTCTTGAATTTCCTCCAAAGTCTCCCAAAGGGCCGAGTCCAGACGGCTTTCTCACATCACAGCAATCGCATATTGGCAGGCGTCTCACAAAATAGTTACAGCCACCCCTGTCTGCAGAGTGCAAATGCAGTGATGCATTTTGTATTTTACATGAAGGGTGCAAGACCTAAATTTCTTCCTCCCTTCCCTTCCAAAGACATTCAAGGCCACATCTTCTGCCTCTTGAGAAAATATCCCAGCAGTGAATAAACTGCAGAAAATAATAGCTCCTGGGCTATACACCGCAAGGTGTCTGTCACCTGTTGGCCAGGATGCTCACAGGGGAGCAGTAAATCTGAATTTGCAGAGAAGGCTCCTGGTGTTAGGTCTGCTCTTGATTCAGTATCTTCGTGTTACAAAATGTAGGGCAACCTGGAAGTGGGGATAACGAGCCAGGACTATCTCCCTGAGATAAGGGCGCTGCCCACGGGAGAATACAAACAGCCTCTGGCAGCGCACTCGGCTGTCGGTTACCCATAGGCAGTTGATCCAGTTTGGCTTTCACCTGAGGTGACACCCAAGGTGACTTGACGGGAAAGCAGCCCAGGCTCAGCAGGTCTGTGCGTGGCCACCGTGAGCCCGGCCGGGCCCCGGCGGCAGCGCTGGCC